GATTCTTAAATAGAAATTCTAGAAGAAATAAAACACATCAATCATAAAACAGTTATACATTTCATATCATATTCAATTTACTACTACAATAACTTTAATAAATAGAAATTAATTATGATAAATAAAATAAAAAAAAAAATAAAATAATCAAAAAAATAAAATATTAATGTCACACGTTTATTTTTGCTAAATTTTTTCCGAAAAATATTATTTATTTATCGCATATATTGAATCCACCGTTACAGTTGCAATGGAGGGTCCAACGACCTCTAAAATGTTAAAGTGCGCGAATTGTAATTTAGTTATAAACGAGGTTCTGGCGTTTATACAGAACAAGTGTGATGTGATGGATGAAGATTCAATGATCAGACTAAGTATTACAGCATTTAAACCAGAAGACATTAGTGCAGCTAAAAATCTTCTGTTTACATCAGTTAAGACTTCGGGAAGACAGATTAAGCGCAAAAGGGAAGGTAAAACCCAACGAGACCTAGAGGACATAATAGCTCTGATAAAACAGAAAGACCCTGAAGAATTGCCAATTTTTGTCGCTCGCGACCTACAAAAACTACCTCCGGTCACTTTTGACCATATAGACGTGACAAGATTGCTGAAGGACATTATTATCCTCAGACATGAAGTTGAAACTATCAGGGAGACGTATACACCTATAGACCAGTTTTCAAAATTAAAAAATGAAATCATCAACCTACAACAAACACCGATAGTCAACAATCTCCAGCAGGATAACTTTTTTAATACAAAGCGAGGTACAAACTGCATACTGAATGGCTCCGAATATAACTGTGATAGTGGCCCTACAGAATTTTTACACTTTACTCAAGAGACGGTAAACAACAAAAATAACAATCCGACCGTTACTGACAAAGCGGCAGGAGGACGAACTGAGCAACACTCACTGTCCCTTTCGCATTTGATATCTGCAGGCAATTTATCTGTTGCACCGAGTCCGGCCAGCATGCGCGTGGAGGAGCCCACTGCGGTTTCGGCTGTCGAAACCGCGGTACAAATCCATGGCGCTTCAGCTACTGCTGTGACTAATACCTCTGCAGGTGTCGGTGTAGAGAACGATCAGCTGATACAATCACCGCAATTGCAAAGCGCTTTGAATAGGCGGAATGAAGATTGGCAAATTGTACAGAGGAAAAAGCGTCAAAACAGATTTTTAGGTAGAAAAGGAACGTGCACCGTTGTTGAAAGTAGTTTTAAGGCTGCGAATACCAGTGTTCCTATCTTTATAAATAATGTGCACCAAGAAACATGTGAAGAAGACATAGTATCCTACATAAAAAGTAAAACGAAAGTGGAAGTGACCCTTCATAAGATCAAATCCAAGCAACAGAGAGAATACAACTCATATAAAATATATGTACCTAATAATAATTTAAGTTTGTTCTTGGACTGTAACCTGTGGCCCAATGGTATAACATTCCGTCGTTTTATTGAATTTAGAAAGAGACATTCAAACAGACAAGAGAATTCTGATACTGGCGCAAAAATAATGAACTTAAATGGATAGTACGACTAACAATATTAATTTAAAATTAATTAGCTTTAATTGTAAGTCTTTCAAAAGATCCATTGACGCAGTGAAAGTGCTTGGTCAAAGTGCCGATATTATTGCGCTGCAAGAAACTTGGCTCCTACCTCACGAGATACCGGAACTTGGTAAAATAAGCAACGACTTTGGTTTTTGCGGTAAATCAGCTGTGGACATATCTAGTGGAATACTGTGTGGGCGACCGTACGGTGGGGTAGCACTGTTATGGAGAAACAGTAAGTTTAAGTGTGTGTCTGTGATTCCATGTGAAAGTAATCGAATTAGTGCGATTAAGGCGTGTGTGTTGGAACGGCTAATACTTATTTTCACTGTTTATATGCCTACAGACTCATCTGACAATCTCTTAGAATATGTTCAATGTTTAAGTGAAATTGCATCTATAGTTGAAAGTTGCAATATCGAAACCGTATATATTTTAGGAGATTTTAACGCTCACCCCGGGGGATTGTTTGGCAATGAACTTCTAGACTTCTGTAGTGAACAAAATTGGACATGTGTGGATATTCAAATGTTAGGTATAGATTCCAATGCATACACTTTTGTTAGTGAAGCGCACGGAAGCCATAGATGGCTTGATCACTGTGTTGTTACTGAAGCTGCACTAAGCAAGGTGCTAACGGTAAAAGTACATTATGGTGTCTACTGGTCTGATCACTACCCGCTAGAAATTCAATGCAACATAAAAACCGTTTGTGAGACTATTGAGCTGCCGCGTGCTAAAGTAAATAAGGTTCTATGGGGAGAAAGAGACCTAAGCCAAATAGAAATGTTTACCAAATATTGTAATGATAAACTGCGAAAGGTTGGCTTTCCACATGAGTTCGATCAGTGTGGCGATTGTTTGTGTAGTAATAGTGACGCGGTACACCTGGCCGCGATAGACTCGCTTTACAGTGATATTGTAACAACGTTACAGGAGGCTGCTGTGGTCAGCTATGTTGGTCGTTTGGGAGGTGGCAAACCACATCGCGGTCGTCTTATTGTAGGTTGGAACAAGTATGTTCGTGACGCTCACAGGAACGCTAGGCAAAAGTATCTAATCTGGGTATGTAATGGTCGGCCTAGTAATGGTACCATTTTTAATGAAATGTATGATTCGAGAAAAATTTTCAAAGGCAAATTAAAGTATTGTCAGAATAATCAAGAGCAAATAAAAATGAATATTTTAGCTTCAAAACACAGGAATAAAGATTTTAGGGGATTTTGGCAACAAACAAAACAACTAAGTCCAAAGCCTAGCGTCCCTGTGAGTGTTAACGGCATCAGTGAACCACGGGATATAGCGAACATGTTCAGATGTCACTTTCAAGTGGAGTCTCCGCTAAAAAGTACGCAGGTAGTGGATGAGGAGGTCGTGGTGTCGGAGGTGCCGGACCGCGTCACAGCTAAGCAAGTTGCTCTAATGATAAAAGGAATGACGCGAGGGAAGTCTCCTGGACACGACGGCCTTAGCATTGAACATTTTCACAATGCGGGGTCACACCTACCGAGACTCTTAGGGCTGCTGTTCACGCTATGCATTAGGCATTCCTATCTGCCAAATGAGCTAATGAAGACGGTGATAGTGCCTATTATTAAAAATAAAACTAGTGATACTTCCGACAAGTGCAACTACCGTCCGATATCATTAGCTACAACCACATCTAAGGTGCTTGATGGCCTGCTTGAGAGACAACTTAAAGAGCATCTCCACCTACATGACGCTCAGTTCGGCTTCAGACCAGGACTTTCGACTGAATGCGCAATTATGTCTCTCAAACAGACTGTTAGGTACTACACGGATAGAAACACGCCTGTGTATGCAGCCTTTCTTGATCTCACTAAGGCATTTGACCTAGTTAGATACGATATTCTTTGGCGTAAATTAAAAGACACAGGTATGCCGGGTGGGTTGATCAATATTTTTAAATATTGGTATGAACACCAAACTAACCGGGTTAGATGGCTTGGTGAGCTTTCTGACGAGTACGGGTTGGAGTGTGGAGTGAGACAGGGAGGGCTAACTTCTCCTTCTCTCTTCAACTTGTATGTGAATAGGTTGATTGTTGAGCTGAGCGACACAAGGGTCGGCTGCTCGATTGATGGTCACTGCATCAACAGTATCAGTTATGCAGATGACATGGTATTGCTAAGCCCATCAATCGCAGGTCTCAGAAAACTAATAGGTGTATGTGAGAGGTACGCTTTGTCACACGGACTCCTGTATAATGTTAAAAAGAGCGAGCTCTTGATCTTTCAAGCTAGGCGTCGTAAGCTGGGAGATGTGCCACGTGTGCTGCTAAATGGCGTCGCTCTAGGCAGGGTAAATGCGTTTAAATATCTTGGCCATGTGGTTACCGAGGATTTAAAAGACGATGCTGACATCGAAAGGGAAAGGAGGGTGATGGCGGTCCGCTGTAATATGCTGGCACGCAGATTCGCGCGGTGTAGCTTTGGAGTAAAGATAACTCTCTTTAAAGCCTTTTGCCAAACTCTATACACTTGCAATCTGTGGGTCAACTACACGCAGCGGGCCATCAACGCTCTCCGAGTACAATATAATAACGCATTCAGGGTGCTGGTGGCGCTCCCGCGCTGCTGTAGTGCGTCTGCGATGTTTGCGCACGCGCACACGGACGGCTTCCACGCCGTGCAGCGACGCCGCATCGCCTCACTGATGCTCCGTACGCGGGGGAGCGCCAACACCATCCTGAACGTGCTCAGCGATAAGCCTGATAGTCCCCTTCTGTGGCACTGGTTACAAATGCATGTGCCCAGTACCCCAGAGGGTGGCAGATACATGAATTAAACTATAGATTAATTTTATTCAAGTAATTAATATATTAAAGAATCGAATTAAGTTATATTGAATTGATTTAAATTGAATTAAATTTTATTTTATTTTTGATTTTATTGTAATTTAATTTTTGGTATAGATTTGATTATAGTCTTGTTAATTTAATTTAATTTAATTTAATTTAATTTATTTAATGTTCTCAATTACTAACCTAATATAAGTCATACTAACAACTTATGGATCTTTGATATCTGAAATAAAGAATTATTATTATTATTATTATTATTATAAATAAATAAATTTTACCTAATTAAATTTTGTAAACTACTTATTATAATCCCACAAAATAACATCACCCAGCCTGAAAACTATTTTGGGGACTATAACTTGTCCTTAAAATTACATTTAATAAACTCTTTTACAATTGACTAGAATTAAAAGACGAATAGTCGAAATTTAGGAACTCATTAATACACAAAATTATTTAAAAATAGACAACATGGATGTATTACAAAATACAACTTTAACGTTAAAATTAATAAAAAAAAGAATAATAATACAATATTTGGCATCGTAGCGGTTTTTAGCAGTTTTTACCATTAGCAACGGTAAACTTTGTCGACAGTAATATTGTCAATTACTTTACTTATATCCGAGGTTTTCGAAAATGCCGTCTTCGTTAATAGCTTTTCCAAAAAGCGGAGTCTCTCTGAAGATGACCGAGGCGTCTGCTATGTGCATCTGCCGTTTGCCATATCTGAAACATAATCATTATTTTTTTCTTTAATTGGGTTCTCTAATTTTAATTCACGTTACGTGACACGACGTCTAAGTGCGACGCCTGCACGAACTTGTTAAAGAAAGTGGCGCAAATATGAGTGTCTAAAAGATGACTACATATTTGTGCCATTTGCTGTAGAGACTATCGGTCCGTGGGGTCCACGTGCGGTGAAGTTCCTAAAGGAACTCCATCCGTGGCTGGTCATTGCTGCTGGTGATAAGAGGGCTGGTTTTATTCTCGCTCAATAGCTAAGTATAGCCATTCAGCGGGGAAACGCAGCCAGCGTTCTTGGCACGATACCGCGGGGAGTAGCACTGTATGATAATTAAGTTACTAGTTTTAGTATTTTTTATTATAGTTTTTAATATTGTATATAATAAAATATTGTATATTAAAGAAATATATTTTAACACGTTCGGTGTTATAGAGATATATTTAACAAGTTCGATCTTAAAGAAATTAACGTATGTTGCCGTCGTCACGTTGTTTTAAATTCAATTTACCCCCTTCATGTCGCGATGTCAATAGTTTCTAATAATTTGCAAGAAGTGTACTTTGCGAACTGTAGTGTATTGTCAAATGAATTCCTCACGGGCCTCGGGAAAGGAGTGAACTATCGAAAAAATTAAATTAAATGTAACTAGTTAACTGCGCAAACGACAGATAACTCATATCTTTGGTTTGGCAATGAACGTGTTAATAACGTGATTCCTACTCTTTCTCCTGTATCATTATCATCATTACAGCCTATCGCCAGTAAACTGCTAAATATAGGCACATTTTTTTTTTATTATTCCAGTTGATATTAGGAAAATGTTGCTGCCCATCTCCTGTTTCAATTTCCTCTCTGTGATATGAGGTAGTGAATTCTCTTACTTCGCTGCTTATCATCGCATAACTATAAGTAGCGGCACGAAAGTCTAGCGGTGGCCGTTACTGCGTATAAGTCGCGCTAATTGGTTTATTGCGCATAAGTCGCGCTGATTGGCTCGTGCGTATCATTCGCACGCGCTGATTGGCTCTGCATTCGCATTCGTAGAATTCAATTCGTGCGCGTCCCCTCCACGTTTCGTTCAGCGCTAGACTCACTTGCCGCGACTTGTATATTATCTTTAAGTTACCTTCAGGGATAAAATATAATTTCCTAGTAATTTTAAATCTCAGTGGCGATTAGAGAATGCGATCGATGCGATTGGCGATTACGGCTCTGTACGTCTTCAACTTTGACGTTGTTCCCAGTCATAGGTCATAGTTTATTTCGTCGGGAATCTCATATATGAGATAGTTGCAATACCACAATCTATCAGAACCCAAAAGATATATTTAGCACTAGCTGTTCCCGGCGACTTCGCCCGCGAAAAATTTTTACGATTGGATTTTACGGGTTTTAAATTTTTGCGCGGAACGCTAATTCTTTTTCTAAGATAAAAGTAGCCTAAGTTACTCCTTATAAAATCAGCTATATGTTAGTGAAAGGCCATCAAAATCGGTCCAGTCGTTTCGGAGATTAGTCGGAACAAACAGACAGACAGACAGACAAAAATTTTAAAAATTGTGTTTTATTATAAGGCTCCGTATAAACTTTCATATGCATTTAGGAAAAAGCTGTTATTTTGACATTACAAACAGACACTTCAATTTTATTAATTTGTATAGATATCTCATAGTCATCTCTTACAATATTTTCTGTAAGTGGTGAAATTAAAAATTTTGTACAACCGACTTCAATATAAGTAAAATGAGAACATCATCAATGTAGTCGAAGTCAATTAAATAAGGATAACTCAAAAACTACTACAAAGTACGGCCCTGAGCCATCTGCATCCATTCGATGGGGTAAAAGGATCTCAAGTTGCAGCCTCACACTGAAAATCGCAGTGTTGAGCGACCCCTCCACTAGATGGAGCGAAACACACAAGTAGAAGACTGGTTAGGTTGAAAGTAAATAAACGTAAATAGCTTTTACCTTCCTCTGCCGTGCACGGAGTAATATTCTTGCAATTCTTTGAGATAGTTGGAGATCTGCTCTGCTGTATCGAAGCGTTCCGGACGACGCGGACGTGGGTATTGCGCGTAGGCAACGCAAAACAAGAGTGCCGATAGGAACAAAACGGCGGGAAACAAAAATCGCATTGTGCCTGAAAAAGAATAGTTATTTTTAGTTTTAGATTTGTATTATATTTTTATTTTTATGTGGTAAAGCCACGCTGCAGCTTCATTATAAGGTACGTGAGTGTAATATGGTCACCTTAAGTTTTGCCGCCCTATAAAACTAAAACTAGGAGGAGGACAGAGACAAATACGCAATGTCGTACACTATAACTGACATATTCAGAAAAATAGCAAACAAGCCTAAGAAATATTTAGGAACACTTCGAAAAATCAGCTTAAAAAAACTAACTACACTATCCAATACTAAAATCGATTAAAATATTTACTATAATATATCAACTGTCAAAATGGCGTCGATAAAGCGGCGCCCTTTTGACCCTTTATTATTTGATTGACCGATGAAGAGCTATCGTATCGCAAAGAGATCAATGAAAATAAGAATGTAGTTTTTGAGTTATAAGAAAGTGACCATATTAACCTGATGACCATATCACCCTCACGTACTATAGTTCTTTTTAGGTTCTTCTCAAAAGGAATTTGCTCTCATAGAATACCAGCGTAAAATAACACATTAAGCTGCTGTGTTTCGTATGGTGAGTGTAGAGAACCAGAGACTTTTTTCACAGAAAACGAGGCATTCCATCTTAGTCCTCAGAGGTGACCACGCATATGCATTTTGATTCTTAATCGAGGATGGCTGCAGATGTCTATGGGCCATAGCATCCACTTATTCTGTGGACGGTGGACTCTATAAAATAAATATGAAAATTGGTAAACTTTGATCAAGGACAAAATTAAAGGTTAAATCGGTGGTATTTCTCTAAAATGACAAGAAAAACAGACCGTGGGAATAAATTTCAAAGTCGTTACATCTAAACTGACCAGACCCGATAACTTTTTTTTTCAATTGTTTACGCATTATAATTTATAACGTGATCCAGGCCGACGGCCAATTTCAATGGGGACTATTAGTGCACGATCGTGTGTGCAAACACATGTGCTCTCTCTATTACCGTATTCTCACAGTCCGATGGTACAGGAATACGACACGCCCGGATAGAGATCAGGCGCATGCCCAATGGCTTTGCTTTTCGAGGCACGGAGGTAAAACCGCCACCTCTCTGGGTTGGCTGCAACTGAAAAATTTTTGACAAAAAAACCCAAAAACTGATTTATCCGAGCTCAACCCAGGAATCGAACCCACGGTACCACATGATCAGCCGAAGCAGTCGCACTTACGAGCACTAGACCGCCAAGGTAGATTTTTGCATAGGGCATTACCCGCCACGCGGAGGCAATGATGGGACATAGAATTATATGCTTTAAATTATGTCGGCATATATCAAAGATAAAAGGCTCTTAATAAGTGGCGAAGCTTGCGAAGTCACTTATTGATTTCACGATGTCTGTCCGTCTGTCCGTCTGTCCCACGATTATCTCGAGAACGGTTTCGAATTTTCAAATTCTGTTTTCAGCAATCGATTACTGATCACCCAGGCATCTATACCTCCTATTTTGAAACTGATTGCTCAACGGCAACCGTTAGAAACCGCTACAAAGCTGATTGCTTCGCCACTTTGCTATGCTGTTAGCTTGCTAGGTTTATTGATTTCACGATGTCTGTCCGTCTGTCCGTATGTCCCACGATTATCTCGAGAACGGTTTTGAATTTTCAAATTCTGTTTTCAGCAATCGATTACTGATCACCCAGGCATCTGAACCTCCTATTTTGAAACTGATTGCTCAATGGCAACCGTTAGAAACCGCTACAAAGCTGATTGCTTCGCCACTTTGCTATGCTGTTAGCTTGCTAGGTTTATTGATTTCACGATGTCTGTCCGTCTGTCCGTCTGTCCGTCTGTCCCACGATTATCTCGAGAACGGTTTTGAATTTTCAAATTCTGTTTTCAGCAATCGATTACTGATTACCCAGGCATCTGAACCTCCTATTTTGAAACTGATTGCTCAACGGCAACCGTTAGAAACCGCTACAAAGCTGATTGCTTCGCCACTTTGCTATGCTGTTAGCTTGCTAGGTTTATTGATTTCACAATGTCTGTCCGTCTGTCCGTCTGTCCCACGATTATCTCGAGAACGGTTTTGAATTTTCAAATTCTGTTTTCAGCAATCGATTACTGATTACCCAGGCATGTGAACCTCCTATTTTGAAACTGATTGCTCAACGGCAACCGTTAGAAACCGCTACAAAGCTGATTGCTTCGCCACTATGCCCTGCTGTTAGCTTGCTAGGTTTATTATAAGATGACTTATAGAAGACAAGCTGAGCCGTGCCCGCTTTGCTGGGCGTCTAACATTTTTACTCGTGATGAAATTATCTTGTGTGATTCTTAGTACTGAGTGTTTAGGACTTATTTTCGGAATTGATTGATAAATGTTGTTATTTCATATTAAACAATATCATTAATCACAATCAAATATAGCCTATGTCACTTAGAAATAATGTAGCTTTCTACTGGTGAAAGAATTTTTAAAATCGGTTCAGTTATTCCAGAGATTACTTCCTACAAACAAACTCACAAAGTTACAAACTTTATTTCTTTATAATATTAATAAACCTAGCAAGCTAACAGCATAGCAAAGTGGCGAAGCAATCAGCTTTGTAGCAGTTTCTAACGGTTGCCGTTGAGCAATCAGTTTCAAAATAGGAGGTTCAGATGCCTGGGTGATCAGTAATCGATTGCTGAAAACAGAATTTGAAAATTCAAAACCGTTCTCGAGATAATCGTGGGACAGACGGACAGACGGACAGACATCGTGAAATCAATAAGTGACTTCGCAAGCTTCGCCACTTAATTAATCATTTAAAATCATTGAACGTACTACCTACCTACTTACCTACATTATATATGTATTTATTCAAATTAACATGTATTTTATAATTGGTTGCAAGTATGTTTATTTTAAAATGCGTTTTAATTAAAATTACACAATTTTATCATGGCGTACGATGACAGTTTTAGGGGGTGGCATTTTGTGATGAAAATCAGCTCCCTTTAACTTTTAATATGATGACAGCACACATCTTAAAAACACTTAAAATTAACTGTTACTGAATCATCGTCTTTATTATTATCACCACAACAGCCTTTCACAAATCTACTGCTGAACGATCATAGGCCTCCTCAAGGAATGCAACAAAACACGGCCCTGAGCTCCTGCACCACGTGCATCCATCGACTTCGTTCGCGTCTTATCAGGCAGTTCGTTGTCGTCATCGACGTCGTTATTTATTGTACGAAATACGTAACACTGTTGACCTGCAAGTTCTGAAAATATAGCTAATCTGCACGCACACATCTTCCACTTTCCAAGACTAGGGATATGTATAAAAAAGTGGTACTTTGGGATTATCCCGCCGACTTGCCAGCGCTCGCGAAAATGCTTAAACTTTTTGATTTTTTTTTAAATTTAAAAGTTCAATTCTTTCAATATTATATTTTATATCATTATAGTGTACGCACCTTCACCTACTGTCGAAAAAGATATTATTTTCCCAAGCATTGAGTAGTCGACGGGATACCACTGTCTGGACTACCTAATTTATAACCATTTTTAACTTCATGTAAATTTATGTCTTCAGTACTTTGTCGATGTTTACAATTAAAAAAATGCGAAAATACATTTATCTAAGTTATTGTCATTTATTTTAATAAGTAAAAAATGGCTTAATGAACAAAACAATTACATGTGCCATCTCTTGGCGAGTAGAAAAAGGTTTGTAACATGCATAGACATGTTAAAAAGAGGTGCTATTTATACGGCGCCATTTTATGACATTTAACTAGATGGCGCTTTATTCAACTTTTAAGTTTATATTCTTTTTTCATCATGTTTTAATACCATATTTTTATTTAGTATTAAATTTAAGTAGATAGTATAAGGAGAAGTATAAGCAGAGTGTAAAATAAATACTACTCTCCCATGTACTGTTAAAATTCATTTATAAGCAATTACACATTACACCTTCACATCTTTCATCACTAATTTCAAAACAAATTGCTTACGTGACTTCAAAGTGAATGTAAAAAACATTCTTATGAAGTATCCTTTTTTCATAAGAATGATTCTTTGAATCTTTATTCGTTAGGATAATATTTGGATGATTTTTTTAAAAGATAAATGTGCTTGAATATAATGAGTTTCCCTTAGAGTTTTTTTTTATTTATATTTATACCTAAATACCTAATTGAAATATATATATGCCTTTTATTGAACTGAGTGTGTTATTTGCATGTTATTAAAACATAAATAACCATTTTACTGCCCGTGCGGTAATATTAGTGGTATAGTTGTAGCACGAATGGGTCGGCTCGACCGGGGAAGGACTACGATCTCACAGAATACCAGCGTAAAATGGCAGCATAACACTGCTGTGTTTCGTATGATGAGTGTAGAGAACCGGAGACCCTTTTTACTGGAAAAGAGGCATTCCATCTTAGTTCTTAAGGGTGACAACGCATCTGCATTTTGATTCGCAAACGAGGATAAATGTAGATGTCTATGGGCCACAGCAAGCACTTACCATCAGGTGGACTGTATGCGCGTCTTTATTCATCTCTTGCTTGCACACGCTATCTCACACCCGCTGGTAAAGACTACAAAAAAAAAATTGCGATATGCGTTTTTCGTACGTTCTATAACTTCAGTCCAACTTGCATTGGAATCAATGATAACAAAATGTCATAAACTACAATCTGTGTAAATAATGCCACATTAATAGATCCTACCCAGGCTTAGCCAGAGACGGCTCCGTGGCGCAGTGGCTTAGCAATCAGTTGTTGCGCTGGGGGCCGCGGGTTCGAATCCCGCACGGAACAAGTATTTGTATGGCCTACAAATAATTGTTCCGGGTCTGGCTGTTTGTCCTTGTGCCATATATGTTTGTAAACTGCCTCCACGATACAGGAGAAAATCCTAGTGTGGGGGTAACTTTTCATTTTTTAAAAAAAAATAAAGAGCGGGTCCCTAGTTATAAATGTTATTTTAAAATTAATGTACCT